AGAAAAATACGAGCACCCGTGCCAAGTCGAGGACTTGAACCTGGGTGAGCAGGTTCCACACAAGGAAACTAACCAACTGATCTATGATCAGTTCGCATAAAGCATACATATTTATATTCTCAAAAAAAACATACGTATTTATTCATGTAAAAATCTAATATGCTAAAAGTATAGGTATTTACACATGTAAAAGAGCATCCTACCAAATATTTCTTGAAGGCAACTAAATCTCATATACTTAGGATGTTAATTAGTTGGGTGCAAAATAAATAAGTATACGCTTGATGGCAAGTGGCAACCCAATGCCTGCATAATGCATAAGTTACAAATGGGAAACAACCCGTTAGTCCAAGGTACATGGCTTAGCTACAAACATGAAGAACAAATTAAGCTATAGCTTACTAGCGTTATTTTCATACTACAATAGTGCCAAAACAAGTTACAAAAGGATCTACAAAGTTACGAGATTAATTAAAAAAGAGAATATATGGCTTAGAATAAACCAAAGATCTCATATTTAATACAATTAGCAATACTAAATTAAAAATAATAAATTAAGGTAAAATAGCCGTTTAACTTTCACAAGTTGGAAATAATAATACCTAAATAAAGAGTCCATGAAAATCATAACTAAAAAAGGGAAAATTAAAATCAAAATTATGAAAAGTTGAAGATTGAAAATTATCCTAAAATAGTAGTTTGATTTCCATATGTTTGAAAATACACCTAAAAAAGTACCTGATTTACTATAAAAGTTAAAAATATCATCTCATTTCACTCGTTCTATGTGTAGTACATAGGCCGAGATTATAATAGACAAGGTCTATCAAAAGATATAGGGAAAATAAAATAGAGAATCTAATATAGATAGAACGAGTGTGGAATGTATAAAAAGTATAAAATTCAATCAAAACTTTGCAACTGTATTTTGGCATGGTAAGAAGAAAACAATAAAATTACATAGAACCTTTATAATAAGGGCTACATGCACACATAAGAAGAAACGATCAAGATACGGACAGATAGCAACATCCGCTCCTCGCTCGCAGCTCACTCGCAGCGAGCCTGGCTTTCGTTTCTCTGGATGCAACATCTTTGCTGCTTTAAGACGTGTGCGAGGCTGGCCCAATCTCTCCTCCAGGTAGGGATGAGAATGGATAAGATACGAACATATATCACTGATATTACATCTGTTTTCATATTTCTGTCTAGATTTATATTCGAATACGGATAGTGTCAACAGTGTCAGATAGGATACAATTGGATATCGACATTATAAATATACGATTTGAGTATTCAGATACGGATACAGTATTAGATATTGAATATCCGGACTTGAATATGGATAACTGAACCAGTATAAACAGATTCGGTCTAAAATACAATCGGAAAATATCCATCCCGTTTTTACCCGTACCTCCGCTCCTCCAGGCAAACAAATAAAGGACCTTGCACCCCATCAGCCAATCGGTGCAGGTGATCAAACGAGCCCATAAAGTTTAGAATACGCGGTAGGACTGGTATTATTTGAAACATGATGGGGTCGTAGTATCATATAAGGTAGATCGATATGGATCAAGCATGGAAAACCTCATTGAGCAACCTATCAAAGTTGACCCAAGAGGGCCCACCTGGCTCTGAAGCCGTAGATGCTCTCTCCTCCCATTGGGCAGCTTGTCCTCTCATCTTCCTGCCTTTCTCCCCTCCCATGACATCTCTTACTAGCGTCTCCACCTCCCCTCTCTTGACGTCGCTGCCGATCTCGACGCCGACGCGCCATTCCGTGCAGGCGAATCGGCGGTTGGTATGCTGGTCCGCAGCAAAGGGCCAGCACAGCATGGGCACCCCGGAGCAGATGCCCTCGAGCATGGAGTTCCACCCACAGTGCGTCAGGAACACGCCGATGGCCTGGTGCCGGAGCACCTCCCGCTGAGGGCACCAGCTCGTCACATAGCCCCGGTCCTTGGTCGCCTCGACAAACTCCGGCGCTAGCGTCGTGGTCGTCAGCATGGCGCCCCTGAGCACCATCAGAAAGTGGTAGCCGCTGTTGGCCAACCCCCACGCGAACTCCTCGATCTGCTGGCTCGTCAGCACGACTATGCTCCCGAAGTTGGCATACACCACGGACCGGGGTTCCTTGCTCCCGAGCCAAGCCAGGCACCCGTCGTCCTCCTTGGTGAGGTTGGCGCTCAGCGTCTCCAGTGGGCCGGCATAGGCTTCCGTGAGCAGCGGGAGCGGGCCGACGGCATAGATGGGTGGAAGGACGGCCGACATCGCGGCGACGACCTCGCCCTCCAGCTCGCCGAACGTGTTAAGGACGACGGCGGTCGTGGCCGTCGGTAGAGCCTGCAAGTGTGCAAGGACGATGCGGAGCACGGGGTCATCGGGGTCCGTTGTCCGGACGAAGCTTGCCATGTCGCGCAGGCGCATGTCTGCCGGCAGCCCCGGCACCGGGTCGATGACCGTGCTGTCCAGGTAGACATCGCGCAGCTGCTCTTCATCTGCAGACGGAGTTGGACATTGATGGTTGGTAGCAACTAGCAATTGATGAACCAATCAATAATTGTTCATCTACGGATCGATATTAATCACTAATCAGAGACAGCTAGCATCTCCATGCAGTACCTTTGAGGGGAATTATGCCCTTGTCGATGAGCTGCTGGCACTGCAGGGACGCCAGGAGCCCGCAGGCGCTCGTCGTCCAGAAGGCCACCGCCCGGACACCCACGTCCGCGGCGGCGCGCAGGACGGGATCGATGTCGGAGACGACGCATGTTGCCGGTGCTCCGGAGGCATACAGGTCGTCGAGCAGTTTCTTGAGGTGCGGGACAAAGGTGTCGACTGACGCAAACAGGCTGACCATGACCTGCGGGGAGTCGCCATCGTCTTCACCACAGGGCGGCGGAAGACCGTCCGGGATGGAGGCGAAGCCAAAGCCCGGGGTGCCGGCCAGCGCGGCGGGGCCTCGTGTGCGGAGAAGGCGGCGGCGGTTGCGGTCGGAGTGGACGAAGGTGACGCGGACGCCGCCACGGACGTGGAGGAGCTTGGCCAGGTGCAGTGCCGGTGTGACGTGACCCTGCGCCGGGAATGGGAAGAACACCGCGTGGGTGGCTGGCTTCTCAGCTCGAGTCGACATGGCCGAGGGTCGGTCTCGGTCAGCTCTTGCGGTGCCAAGGTGCGGTTCCTGCTGCTGCTGCAGTGCTGCCTGCTCTATCGAACACTCCTTCCTGGCCTGCGATACTTCCGATAAAGGGCTCGTTCGCTTCGCTGAAACATTGTTGTAGCTAATTTGCTGCGAGAAAAAAATACTGTTCTGATTAAAAAATAAGCTGAAAAGTACCGATTATAAGAGAAGAGTTTGGCACCCTGCCACCCAAAGAACTATCCAAATCGGACTCCAATGTCTTGGCACACTCACATAAAACAAAATCACTAAAGCACTCTAGAGTCGCACACTTCGTCTACTTCGTTCACGAAGGAAAAATTACCAAACTAAACGTGTTGATTATAACAATCATGGCTCCAATCTAATGATGTTTCGTGGCAATGACCTTTTTTGAACAAAATGGTATGAGATTGTGCCTAATTTCATTGAATAAAGCAGAAGAAATGAGCATAGGAGTAGAGAGAGTTTAAAAAGGAATTAACAATATAAAAGAAGCTCTCTTAGGCTCTTTGCACCTGCGAGCACTCAAATTCTAGCTTCACCCTTGATTTTCATGGATAGCGTTGATAGCTCCTTTCGTTGAAAGATTCTTTGTTTTCGCTCCTTCTAGAGTTCCCATATCACAAGCAAGATGAGTGGTAGTGACCTAGAAAGAAACGTACTATTGCAGTGTCCAGGTTTATGACGAAAAGTATATCTGTTATTAATATCTGTTCCCATATATCCTTTCAAAAATATATGTTCCCATATGTGCAAGTGTGAGAAGCTCACAAGTGGACACAAGAGAAGGTACACACTGATCTAAAATTTAAATTTACAAGAGGGCTAACGAATTGAAAAATATGGATAGTATTTAACGAAACTCACAAAAACTAAAGGGTATCTTGATTTGGCGTTGGTAGAAATTGCACAAAGATGGGATAGGATGGGAGTGAGAAAAAAGACAAAAGGAGAATGAGAGGGCGCATGCGAGAGGACAACCAAAGTCGAATGAATAAACAAAATTATTAGCAAAATTATTTTTGAGTAAAAGGATCTAAATGTTACTATGGAAAAGTTAGCTATTTATAGTATTTGCACAGGTCACCTTATTAGTTTTTTTTTTTTTGAAACTTCACCTTATTAGTTTGCTTTAGACAAGAGAGAGATTTTTTTTTATATTATCCGCTCCCCTGGCCATGGCCTTGTGTGCAAGTTCGTCCACCAGGTTTATGAGCGAAATCGATGCGACCGTTGTGGCGTTGTGAGTTTGTGACTCGTGACTCACTGTTCCTGTTGCGTTCGTTGGCAGCGCCGGCTGCCGGCAGCCAGCCGTGGCTGAGGATGACCCCGTGATAACGCAAACCGGCGACGGCCACTTTCCACCACCACCGGCCACAGGCAGCTTACACGCGGGCTCCACACCACCGCCTTCGCTGACACGGCCAGCGCCGACACCCTGACCCAGCCACGGCCACCCACTGGACTCCACACGCCCCACCTGAGCTTCCCCGAGCAAAATATCCCGGCCTCTCTTCGCCCCCAAGCAACCCCCCGCCGCCCGGCGCCCGCGTCGCCTGCGCTGCGCTTTCCTTCCCCGCAAGATTTTTTCCGGCCGCTCTACCCTGTTCCCTGTAGCAGTAGCTGTAGCGCGTGCGCGCACCGCCTTGCCCTACGGTTCGCAGCCGGCAGTCCCCCGGTCTGTCCACGCGGAGCGCCCGCCGATGTCCGGCCACAGTATGTCGGTTCCACCCGAAGCCTATAAATTCCTCGCCGCCCCGTCTCTCGCCGCCCATTTCCTCCGCCTCCTCCCAATCCTCAACCCCCGCGCACCCGCGCGACGTCGTGTGCCACCATGGACCGCGCCCGCCCCACCGCCGCCGACGCTAATGACCCCGACGCGCCCTACGCCGCCGCGATGCTGCTGGAGCCCAAGCTCGAGGACGAGGACGTGCCGCTGCAGCAGCTGGCGTACCCGCCGGGCCCCTTCGTGTCCCTGGACCAGCTGATGCCGCCGCCGGCGGTGGCCGAGCCGCCGCGCCCGCTGGAGGCGCTGCTGCAGGGCCCGCAGCTGCCGCCCTTCCTGTCCAAGACGTACGACCTGGTGAGCGAGCCGGCGCTGGACGGGGTCATCTCCTGGGGCGCTGCCGGGAACAGCTTCGTCGTGTGGGACCCCTCCACCTTCGCGCGCGACGTGCTGCCGCAAAACTTCAAGCACAACAATTTCTCGAGCTTCGTCAGGCAGCTCAACACCTATGTGCGTACACAACTCCTCCGTTCCTCCCTTTCTTCCTTCCCCCCTCACAAATCACACACGATCCGTGGCTCTGTTGTTGGAATGCTCTGCTTCGGTCCATGCCCCCCTGTTCTGTTATTGATCATCTTGGATGTGCCTAAGTAAGATTCCTGCTGCCGTGTAGACTGCCTATGGAGATATTGCTGCCAATTTTGTTTCTCTTTTGGTTGTTGTTGGTGTTGTATCGTGTGAATCATGTATAAAGTGCTCTGTAAATGGTGTATGTACTCTGTTCCTGCTTTCTTGCTTGAGCTGAACCGAACATGTAACACGTACCAAAACTGGCCGCGTCAAAGTATAAGTTGGATTAGGATTGAGACAATCCTGAGGAGTAGATCCTGTGATGGGCAAGGTTAATCCGTTTCACGGGATGCGACGCTATGCAAGGTAAGCTTCACGATCCACATGTGCATACGCACCTCTGTTGCAATTCGATTCTTTTTCTTGGGAGTGTACAGCAGTAGGGCTAGACTGCACATTCGTTTCCATTCCCCAGTCAAGTTCTGCAGAATGTTTTGTTGGTTGTTTGCTGCATTGTGTGGCCCACCCAGTGCGTGTGGGATAGGCCATAGTATATCGCAGGTCAGTGGTGGGTGGGCTAGGCCGTATGTAAACACCCAAACAGCTTGGATAGGTATCAGTCCACGTATCGGAATTTAGTTTTATTTATTTTTTTACCGATACTTTATGGATACGTATCCACTGCGTATCCATATCGGATACGTATCGGATACAGGATACGTGGCCAACCTCACGTATCCGTGTAACGTAGGCTATGCATTTTCGGCTAAATATTCTGCCCCAGTCTTCACAGGTTTGGCATAGTGCTCGTCTGCCTCTTACAGCTTACCTTTTCTCCATGTTGCCGTAATTTCTTGAAGCCAACACACTATTATTTTGGGAAGATTTCCTTTTCTAACAATGAAATGAGCACCGTCTCAAGCTTGTTCGTTCAAAAAAAAGGTTTTTTTGGAAGATTAGCACTTCATATATACTCCTATGTTTAAAACAAGTACAGTTCCTTTGTATTAGTATAGGACTGGATGATAAGAATACATAAAGAGTAAATAAGCATGTGCCCCAATTGCTTTGATAGTCTGTCCTGTCTTCTTCATTGTTAGGCCTAGAACCTAAATCCTTGACTCCTCTAGTGTCTATTTAGGGGTTTAATTGCCATGTGCTCCAATTATATTGAGTTTTTTTCCCAGTCTCGCTGCAACTCTGGAAGTTAGTTTCCTGATTGTCAATGATAAGGTTGGGAGATCGCAGTACTAATTCTTGATAGAAGTTTAGTTCTTGAGTAGTGATAACTGGAAGCTAGTTACTTGGTGAAGTTTGAGGTGGAGATGACATTATGGATGAAGCTTTTGTCGTATTACTGCATCAAATGGAATTCAGTGCGTGTTTACACTCCTTTGAATAATTATGGAGTAGCTAATTCTTTTCTTTAAGAAAAAAGAATTTGTTTTGTCTTTCTGGTAGTTATAACTTTGTGTACCTTGTTTGATCTACTCAGGGTTTCCGCAAGGTTCATGCTGACAGATGGGAGTTTGCTCACGAGGATTTCCTGCGAGATAGCAAGCATCTGCTGAAGAGGATTGTCAGGCGCAGGTCCTCACCAACAAAACAAAGCAGCATTCAGCCTGGTTCTTCTTCTGGAGAATCCATCCTGGACCCTGAGCTCCACACGCTGAGAAGAGAGAAGAACGCACTGCTTGAAGAAGTGGCAAGGTTGAAACAGGAACACCGCCAGACAATTGAGCACATGAGCACGCTGAATCACAGGCTGGAATCTGCAGAGGACCGGCAGAGGCAGATGGTCTCTTTCCTGGCCAAGCTCCTTCAGAACCCGAGTTTCGTGAGGCAGCTGAAGCTACACAGGGAGAAGAAAGAGATTGACTCCACCAGGGTGAAAAGAAAGTTTCTGAAGCATGTTCCTCATAGCGTAGAGTCAGGTGAGTCCAGCTCACTGCATGCCGGAGAGAGTGGTCCACATTTGGCTGTGAGTTCTCCCATGGCTACAAGCGTGCACGACGACATCACAGAACTTCAGAATTTTCTCTTGGAAGACGATGACGTCAACTTTGGCATGGATTCAGAAAACATGGGGCTTGAAGGCATCGAGGCACCAGAGGATATTGGAGAATTGATTCAGGGGTTCGACACACAAGAAGAACTTGAGCTCGGCAGTGGAGCTGAGCTACTGGAGATGCCTCCAGCTTCTGGTCCTCTGGGTCAAGATCCCACAATCGGCAGGTCCAAGGGAAAGAATGTGCTGTGTCCAGGATTGGACGCTACCTCTTCTGAAGCCGACTGCCTCAGTCCATTGCCTGACAACATGGCGTTGATTTCAGGCACCATGCTAGGGGCAGCATGCAGGATGATGGACGCTGATGATCAGCAAATGTGGGGCGTTGATGCTTCAGCAGCCCTGCAAAGCTCTTGCAGTGGCACTAGTCAACAAGCTTTCAGTAGCCATGCTAGTGATCCCTATCTGATGGACATTGCCAACAAGCCTGAGAGATTCTGGGAGCTTGATTTCCAGGCACTGGATGAGGCTGATCTGCAGCTGGACAAGTGTGCTACTGATGACCCTGCTCTTCAGCAGCAGCCAAGTATGAAGAAGCCGTAGATGAATTTCCGTGTGAGACAGACAATATGGTGATGCTTTATCCACTGAAGTGCTACAATTAGCTTATGGACATTGCCATAGTTATGTTGATATTTGGGAGCGAGGCTGATGAGCTCCTAGATACGCCCACTATGGCACTTAGTAGTTGCAGCAGTAGTAGTATGTTTTTGTTTCCCATTCATTCACCCCTAGTGTTTTTGAATGGAAACTTCTATCCTATTAATTTGTTCAGAGCAGCTGTTAACTGCTCTGGCCGATTCTTTTTTCCCCATTTATTATTATTTTTTGTTTCTTTTACTTGCGATTTGTGAATGTCTTGCAATGAGAAATGGAATTTAAAAAACCATTCTTTCAGAGCCAAGCAATTTGCAGATGTGCTGTTGATCCCTTTTTGTAAATGCTTTTATTATCTAATATATTAACCAGTAGAGGCCCGAAACCCCTCCTGATCCTTTCAAAAAAAAATGCAGATGTGCTGCTGAATGTCTCCTTTTTCTCCTCATTGGATGTATTTCATCTTCGGAAATGAAATAGCTGAATTTTGTTTGTCAGTGTGCAATCCTGTGGTCAGATATTTGTTAAATTTATGGTCCTCCTGCAGTGGTCGTGAGGAAACCTTGCCAGGACGTCTTTGTCTAGATGAATATACAGGTAGTGCAATGCTGACCAAAATGATCATGAATATGCTGGTAATGAGCTGAATCTTTTGTTTGATCCAAGAACTCTGAACCGGTGTAACCTCATGATCCTTTGCCGACTACGCTGGAACTGAAAGATCCTTTGCCGACTACACTGAAACTGAAAGATGCATAACAGACTTTTTCCGAGTCCACCAAGTGGTGATCAACCTCTGACGCAGTCCGGTGACAGTAGGACATCGAAGCAGGGTGATCATAAGTTTCAGTTTTTTTGCCCAGGAGTTGGTACTGAAACTCTTGTGGCTAATTGATTTACGTGTTCATGTCGCCAAGTAATAGCCGAGTGAGCAGATACTGGGAGGAGATTCCACCACGTACGTAGGTGCAGCTCTTCCACAGAAGGTGGAAGAACAATAGTTGGACAGGAGAACGGAGCAATCGAACCGGTTTTTCTTCTTCAATGACGCGATGATTGCCATGATTTCCTTCCACCATCTTAGCGTGACTTCAACGTCTGGAACAATTTAATCATGTTAATGATTGCTCGTACAAATATCTTTTCTTGCAATAAAATGTCACACCAAGTCCTCTCTCTCTCTCTTCTCAAATAGTACAACCCTTAAAACCAGCTGTAGCACTCAAACCAAGGCTATTATAATTTTTCTTTCTTTTCTCGGATACTCTATGTATTCTTTATATTTGACACTAAATGATTCCGAACTATAATACTGATAGTTAATATAAATGATCCCAATTCAAATACAACAATTTAAATTTTAAAAAAAATGAAATGTTAAAGATAACAATTCAAACTTTGCATCTTAGGCTCAACTTCATCCATGAATTATCAAAGTAGGAGTATGTTTTAGTCCTCAAGCTTTCCTTTTCAATTTAACGGTCTCTCGTAGTACTACGTGGAATGGCGCACAACATATGGACACTAGGATCCGAGCAAAGCAGGGCCCGGTCCTTTTCAATTTAAGTAGTATTTAGTTATTAAAATGAAAAAATATATAATTGAGCACTAGGATATGAACAATTCGATCATTCATATTCGAGGATATTCAAATCTATATTTATATTCATTTTACAGACATAAATGTCGAAAGTGTGCTATTTGATTCGATAGTTGGGGATGACGCCAAGGACATTGGTACCTAATGATGACCCATCTGTGGTCCTAGAGCTGATCGGTGCAATATCTTGGAGTTTCATATAGGACAAGGGACGAAGTTGAGCTGAAAAGAAAAGTTTAAGGACTGAAATGCAATTTTGTAGTTCATGGATAAAATTGAGCCCAAAATATAGTGTCGGGACTAAAACAATCACTTCGAAAGTTCTACGATGAAGTTGAATCCAAAAGAAAATTTTGAGTACTGGAATGGCGATTTGAAACGTTTAAAAATAAAAATATAGTTCGAGAGACCAAAATGACTATTCTACCTGGAGAGTGGGGTGGGCTTGTTGTCGGGCCTAGGACTTGGTTGGGTATTTTAGGGTTTAGCGTTTAGGGTTTAGGATGAAAATAATGTGTGCACACTGAAATGATGTTTTCTTTTAAAGTTTAGTGAAACTGGGCAGCGCGGCGCGTGGCCTCGTCGGGAGCGGCGGCGGGGACGGCCAGAGGCAGTGGCGGCATTCGGCGGGGTGTGGGAGCGGCATAGGCGAAGCGTGAAGCTTCGAGACGGTGCGAGCGGACGGGTGGGGAGAGGAGCGGAGAAGATATTTCGATGCGGCAATGTAGAGCAGAAGCAAGAGAAGCCAAAAATATGTAGGTGAAGCCGCTCTGTGTGGAATTTGCTCCAAGCAGCTCTAGGTAATATGAGTCACTCGATCTGAGATTGGACGGTCGGCGTTAAAGGGTGACGTGGACGCGTGAGGAAACATATTTTGGTATACAGGAATAAGGGTAATAAATAATGATAATGATAGATGATAGATGGTAGATGGTAGATGATGTTAGCTGTTTGTAAGAGGTGACAAACTGAAATTTCTCGTGACGTGGAAGAAAGATAAATGGAAGGCAGAAAAGAAATCATGTAGTAATTAACGTATAGTCTATGACATATGGGACTACATATACACCTTCAAAGACAGTATCTTTCATAGAGATATCCTATGTTATTTGTGGCTGAATTTTCCAAGTGCCACGTAATCACTAGGTGCCACATAGGCTATCTATCTGCTGACAACTTCTGTAGAGTAATAGTTTAGTATTGTGTATATGTCACTTGTCACATACAGCATCTGTCCATAGCCTCCTATTTTCCGATAGTGCCGCCGCTGCTGTATTACCAAGCCGTCATCGTGGTCAGCGCTCTATCAGCAGATGCCACCCCTCCTCTCCCTCTCGCCTCCCGGCTCCCCCAGACGCGAGCTCCACCCCAAGTCGCCAATCTCCCTACTCCCGAGCTGTGCCGTGTCACCAAACGCCTACCACCGTCCTTTTGACCCAATGGCCAATGCCAGTCCTGATCGCATATTCGCGTCACTTCACTGCACAAGCCTCAGCAGCGGACGGACGGACGGCGCCAAACGCATCATGTGGCAGTCCTATAGAGGAAGAGGCTACAGGTCATGGGGAGACCGGGCCCCGCGTCTTGCTTGTTGCCACAAGCCCACAATCCGAGCCCTACCTACAAGCACCATTTTCCTTCCCGCGGAGTTTCAAATCCGGTGATTGATACCATAGGACGGTAGGAGTACTACCGTTTGATTCGTTGGCCCTGATTGCACGCCGACGAGACAGCGACCTATAATAGCACTAGTTTACATGTGTCAAAGCGAGGGCGCAAGCAGTGCCGCGCCAGACTAATGCCGTGCCGGACCGCCGTGTCGGACTATGGACCAAGCAGCCACCTGAATCAGCGACGCCGGCGCGGCACGCCTCACACGTGGCGCCGCACGAGTTGAAGGCTCTCCTGTCCAGCGAAGAATCTGAAACCTATCAGCCGCCAGTGACGCCCAACCCAATGCCCGGGCCTTGCTTTGCTTGTGTACACTGTATAAATGAGCTCGCTCCGGCAATCTGTCCCGCCGCCTTCCTCCTCTTGTTCAGCCTCCAGCGATCGAGGTGAAGCTAACCGGCCGTGAGCTGCCCTGTTGTCTGCCCAAAGATCAAAGATGCCCTCTCTTGCGCCGCCGCCTGCGGCTGATCACAAGGCCTGGCCGAGGCAGCAGAGACACGCGGAGAAGGCCGCGGGGGCACCGACACCGCGGGAGCCGCTCGTGCAGCGGAGGGCGTCGTTCCACGGGCGCGGCACGCACGAGCAGCAGCCGCAGCAGCAGCAGCAGCGAGACCACCTGCTGCAGAGACAGAGGCCCCGGACGCATCCGGACCTGCTGGCCGGAGTCAGGGAGCGGGGATTCTGGCGAGCGGGCGTCCACGGCGGCAACGCTACTGCCGCCGCCGCTGTCCCGTGGGGCAGGAGGGCGGCGCCGAGCAAGGCGCTGGTGACCGTCGCCGTGCAGCGGAGCATGTGGCCGCTGCACGTGATGGCGGGCGCCGAGTGGCGCGTCGCGGACCTGGTCGCCGCCGCGGTGGAGCTCTACGTCAGGGAAGGACGGCGCCCGCTGCTGCCGTCCGCTGACCCCTCCGAGTTCGGGCTCCATTACTCCCAGTTCAGCTTGGAAAGTACGTGACGCTGACGCCTGTCCCTCTGCTGCGCTCCTCGTGCCCGTGCTACAGCTACTCTCTCCATTGACAATGGCTGTTTTGCAAATTTACAGGCTTGGACCCGGCGGAGAAGCTCATGGAGCTAGGGAGCAGGAGCTTCTTCCTCTGCCCCAGGGCTACTGCGGCAGTTGCGGCTCCCTCTACGCGCCCAGCAACCGAAGCCAGCAAGGCCACGCCCACCTCTGCCGACAGGCCAAACATGCTACCACCATGGCTCGGCTTCATGCACTTCTGGCCATTGTTGTAGCTTGCTTGGTATTGGTAGTCTTAGTCTCTTAGATCGCCGGCGGCACTTGTTTCACGATCTCCCTACCTAGATTCTAGATTCATAGATAGATTATACATACATTTGTACTTGGCCACCTTGCCAAAACTATTTACTTCCTGCAAATGTTTTTTTTTTTTTTTTTTGAAAAGCAACGGCAGGAGCTCTTTCAGTTAAGTTAAGAAAAAGAGATGTTTATGTACAAGCAAGGGAAGAGGGAAAATGTTTAGTTTATCTGTTTCCAAAATCCAAACAGGTATTTCATTTTTAAGATGATGCATTCGATTGATCCCAGTCGGCCAAGTTGGAATAGCCTCTTGCACCAGTACTGGCGTTGCAAACCAAGTGGGAGAATGATAGAGATTCTATAGATTATCTTCGTACGCGCACACGTCATCTTCCAAGTTTCTTTCGGTTGCTG